GGGGGGGGGGCCATGTGACCTTTTTCCACTGAGTTGTCAGTATTTTTTGTTTTCACACTAATGTTTTTTAAAATTTGTGATGATAGTGATGAAAACAGAGTTATGCTGTAGACAGCCTGACTGTCGATTAACAATAAAGTAAAAACCCTCGAAGACGTTTCATTAACCCGCTCTAACCCTCCCAAAAAAAACACATTATATGAACAAACTTCACGGAAAATTTTTCGATGTGTAAAGGGTTGTTTGGCAGTTACAAAAAAAAAGTGTAGAGTCTCAGAGTAGTCCGTTCCTAGAATGTTCCCGAACCAGACATTATTTATCGAAATCTTTTTTAGTCTTGAGGACCTGCCCCACGATCCCTTTATTCCAGAACAAAACCCCTTTGGAAAGGGGGTTCCCAGAGGACCTTGACTATCCAGAGTTAAATCCATCTTTGAACACTTACCCGGGCAGTCGAATGTGTCGGATGCCTTATCGCGCATGTTTGTATATAACTGAGGACCCTCCATTTTGTGCTGGGATGTAAAGAAAGCTAACGAAAGTTCCCCCGTGGTCTGGGGGGATTCGATTCCCGCTCCAGAAGATCTTATTCGCTGTGAGCCACCCGCACCCATCGTGACTTTTTCTGAACCCAAAAATTTTCTGTTCGAACAGCCCGGTTTGGGGCTCCCCCAGAGAAGAGTATACCAGTTAGTAATTCCCCAGGCAGTGAATGTAGCCTTACAGTAGTTCAGATGTACAGGGGTTGGCACCTGGTTGGATCGTTCAGTAAAACAAGCCAGATTGAAATCTTTTGGCTCGTATGGAACTGTATTTTGGTAAAGAAATGTATGTCTGCATGCAAAATAAAGGAAAACTGATGCGTCCCAATCCAATTCAAGTGTATCCAACACTAGCGAACCCTGGGAAAGGTTGCGCTAGATTTGTTAACTAATTTCCAATGTTCCCCCCAGGGGAAAAAAACATCTGTGGTTTGGTGACCTTTTCACCGATATTGTGGTTAGTTCCTTTGCAGATAAGACTGCCCCAGACAGTAGCTAAGGTTTAAAAAAAGATTATCTGCAGGGATACCACCCCCAAATCCTGTAAAGATAATGGAGGTGAATTCTTAATGAGATTCTTGAAAAAATTTTTGGGACCTTGTCAAGATCTCAAATCCACCCTTTTTCCTATCATCCCCAGAATGTGTTGCGGAAAGAAACAAATAAGAAAATACTTGATGTTTGAGAGCCCTATAATTCCAAAGTGAAACTTGGGATGAAGTTAACCTGTGTGAGTGTGCTAAAATTTGTTACAATGTTTCTATAGGTGGGCATGCCAATTATGGTTTGGGGGTAGATAAAGTTTGCCTTTGAGTTTTTTTACATTCAATCGAACCAAAATTCAACCTGATGATTTTAGCAACTGTACCAGTTTAGCTCAAAATGTCTTTAAAGTTCCCCTGGGAAACATTCATAAAACAACAGCAGAAATTTAAAGAGTCGAAACATCGGCAAAGCCTCCAAAAAACAAAGTGGGTTGAGTTATGCTGATAATTTAAAAAAAAGTCTGAATGCCCAAGTTGATCAAAAGTTTGTTTGGGCCTTACGAGTAGTTGAACATATCATGGTAATAAGTATAAGGTTAGAGAAAATTGTTGGCAGATAAGAAATGATTTTGAAAATGAAGTTAGTAGTGATGTAATGATGTTCCAACCCCGATAATGTGACGCTTGGGGGGCAGCCCCCTGATTGACTTTACCCTTATACTCGTCAGACGATCAACCTGAATGTCGTTTTCCTAGTCCCACAGGTATTGGAAATCCTCAAGTTCTTTGTAAAATACCAAATTTAGTTTTCCTAAATACGCGAGTTAGCCCGTGCAAACGAGTTTGATCCCCAGAGATGAACCCCCTTTGCATATGTCATTTTACCCTAGCAGAGTTGGGGTTAAATGTAAATAACCCGTTAGATGAATAATTACATATCAAAATTATCAGTATTCAATAAAATTTTTTTTTTGTTATGTTTTCTCCGAAATTCTGAGATTTTAAAAGTTAGATTTGAGTACCCGATTGCCTTTCTGTTAAGCACTTTTTTTTTGTGATATTCCTTCTCAGTCCCTAGATCCCTGATACAGATCGATGATCAAATTTTTTTTTAACTTCTATTGTGTAATCTCAAGTTGGTTTATTCGATGGTTGTGCTTTTATACCTTGTATTGCATTACGTTTTTAGTTACGTAAGTTCCTTCCAATAACATATATGTATGTTTAAAAGTTTAATTTTTGTGTACTTTTTACATTTATAGAATCAGCCAAAACCGTCACCCGCCGTTCTAGTTTGATTAGTTGTAGTCGGGGGGCGAATACGTTAGCGTCGCCGGCTTAGTTGTGTACCGTTCTTTTCCAGTTACAGAACCCGTGTACCCGTAGAGATCATACCCCAAACCCTCTCTCGTGAATCCTGACTGTATTTTATTGCTGTGAATAGCAGGTTTCAAACACCCCCCCCCATAGGGATGGGACGTCAAAAAGGGAGCAGGGAGGAGGTCGGGTTTGGGCTTTCCCCCACTTTCCGTTATATATTAACGTACACCGCCCCAGTGAGTTTCTTACCCCCTTCACGCATCGAAAACCACATGCAAGGGTGCAAGATTTTTAAGGCCTCCCCCTTTTGGAGATCGTCAACAGCCCTTGGCTACCTTTAAGAGGAAACTTGATTTAAAATTCCTACTGGAGAGTGTTCCCCGGGGGTCGATGCCCCCCGCGGCCCCGTCCCTTTACCAAGTCGTGGTCGTCAGGGTTGATCAAAGGTGTTTTTGTGGAACCGTAGAAATATGAGCCCCCGGCTGCTCGGATCATCTGACCCGGGGGTGTGGTTGTCTTTGGGCTCTTGTGTGGGGGCAGTAACAGCCTGGGCCAAGGAGGCCTGGTTGGGAGGGTCGTGGGGGGCGTTTAGGTTTCCGGTAAGTTGTGTCTGTCGTCAGGCTTTTTTAATAGCGAGTTCCTGTGCATATTGCCACAGCCAAAGGGGGCAGTTTTACCATAATGGTGTATACTATTTGTGAGGAATGTCCCTCTTTATGTTGGTTGTTTTGCCGAATGAGTGACGTTGTCCAAAAATGCCCCTTTTAAGCAAAAATTTATTGTTCCCTTTGATAATGGGTTTGTCAGCTGGACTGTGTTGGACTCCTTATATGTGGGTAGGGGGCGGTCTTAGCTCCGGCCCACCCCCAAATAATGCTTTAGGATTATGCCTTTGTTCGTGGGGCTGCGTCCTGGTTTTAAAATTATGTTTGGAAATGAGCTGAAGAAATTTCCTGGGGCTCTTCTTTTTTTAAATCCAGCCGGGCGTTGTTTGTACTGATTATTTGTAGTTGCGGGTGATTTTACAGATGTGTGTGGTGTTGCCGCCAGGTGAAGGACCCCCGTTTTTCAAGCAGATTTAGTTTTAAACACTGTTTTATTTAGTCAGAGATTGTCCCTTTCTTTTTTCATCGCCGTTTCTGAAGCATGTTTCGTTTAAGAAGGCAACAATGGCAGTGAGAAAAACACAACGTTATAGAGGTACTTTATTGTGGGGAGGAACCAGGTGGGGGTCCTACTTTAAGGGTCGGGGAGGTGTCTCTCCACCTGCACTGAAGCAGGAGCTAGCTATTACCTCCCCCCGTTAATCCCCCTCACCCCCCGCTCCTAGTGTGGGTCCTCGCCCTTTTGGAAACCCCCTCATCTCCTGCTCTCCCCATGCTTTTTTCTCCCATTCTCGTTTCTCCAAAGATATTGCCTCACTGCACCTCTCCCCGTGTCCCCCTTGCCCCCGTCTTTTGGGATGGCCTCTTGTTTTGGGGTTTTTTGTTGGGTTTTTCATTTTTTTTAAATTTGGATTTCCGGGGATTTACAAATTTTAAATAAATTGTCCAGGGAATTTAATTTTAATTTGGACTTTTACCGTAAAAAAAATTTAAGAAAACAGTGTCCCCGGGGCGTATTTTGTTTTTCCGGGCCTCGCTTTTTCCCCGACAAAGTTTTATTTTAAAATTTTTTTTTAAATTTTTTTAGTAAAATTTTTGGGGAAGCCCACCCCCTTATCTTTAAATTTTTTTAATTTTATTATTTTTTTTTTAACAAAATTTTTTAAAAGGGGGGGGGAAATTTTTTTCAAAAATGCAAGCCCCCTGGGGGGGGCCCCAAAGGGACTCCCTCTAAAATTGGTTCCTCCTTATACAAAGCAAAAAAACTTTTTTTTATTTTTTTAAATAATTAAATTCAATATTTTTTTATAATTTTTATTATATTTAAAAATTTTTGTTTGAAAAAAGGCACCACCCAAAATTTTTTCTTAAATTTTGTTCAGGGTTTTAAATTTTAAAATTTATTTTTTTTTTTGGGGTTTTAACCAAAATTTTTGTTTAAAACATTGTGCCCCAGTTGTGTAATTGTTTTTAGGTAACCTAGCAGGGTCCGGCTGAAGTTGGCTTTCTTCACAGGTGGGCCAGGGGTTTTTAAAAATCCCTACAACTGCATCTCCCTATTTTTATTTTATTTTATTTTTTAAAATTTTTTTACCCCTTTTAATAAAAAAAAAATTTTATTATAAAACCAAACGGGATATTTATTTTTACGCACAACCCCGATTTTTCTAAAATGGTTTTTTACCATGGCTTTCCCCTTTTTTCTCAATTCAGTTTGTTTGGGGGGTTTTTAAAATTTTTGGGGTTACCCCTTTTTTGGGTTTTTATTCATTTTTTTCCCCTTGAATTTTGTTTAATTAAATGTATGCGAATATCTTAAGTAATTCCGGGAAAGGGGCTGGTTTTCCCAAAGCACCTTTCCTACCCTCCATATTTTTAGCCCGCGGGAATGCTCTACCCCCCTCCCCCCTTCCCCATTTTTTTAGGGATTCCTTCCCTGAAACCTCCTCCCATTTTGCTATCCCCTCCCCCCCCTGACCAACTGACACACGACCCGAGAGGGCAGGAGAGAGGGAGTGGAGGCCCCGCTGGCCGCCCCGACCCTTCAGTCGCGCACCAGCAGCGACCCAAGACGGCAGTGCATTTACCTTCCTCCCTCCCTACAGCATCAACCCTTCTTCGACTTTTCTACAGCACCCTCGCCATCTCTACGAGTCCAGTCCAGCGTTATCCCTTTACTCTACAATCTCAGTCCTAAGTCGCCCCTCCCTCTGCGAGGTGTCTTAAATCGCACTCTCCTTCTGCGGGTTCACCACCTTCACTTTGGACTTCGTCAGATTCATCGTGTTTTCCCCTCCATACGAATCTGTAGTTAGGACTAACAGCCTGTAGCTCGTACATGAAGTATCGTTAAGAATATATCCGAAAAGCAACCGGGGCCATCGGTTTCCTGCTACAAGCACCCTTATCAACACTACCCGCGTCACTCCGACTCATCACTCTGAGCACCGCCGTGGACAGTGGTCGTACAGTACCCCTGCTGCAGCACAGACAGAGGCAGTGGTGCCTATTCTTACTGAGTGAGGCAGTGCGGGCGTGGGCAGCGGGCGTGCAACCCTCCCTCAACCCTTGGGCTATTTTGGTGTCTAGGCTGGCGCCGCGTCACCGCACCTCAGTTTGCTTCTGACCCGCAAGCGGCGTGGATACTTTGCCGCGACTAGTGCAGTGATGCTGTGATAACTCGACGCCTCCAATATCAGTGGAAATAGGTGAAGATAACAGCGCAGATTGCCCCTTCCAGTAGTCTTGCAGGTGCACAGGAAATCATATCCGTCGCATGCCACACATTACCACAAGTTGTTAATGCCACCCGCACACATTAGTCCATTTGGACTACATAGCTGACAATTCACGGCTGCCGAGTTACCTTCTACTCTAGTGCGAAACACTTGCAATACTCTTCGAATTTGGCGCGAGTGAGTTGTAGCGAGGTTGGTGTAGCGAGGCTCCGCCCAGCGCCCCTCCCCCGGTTACCGCAGCAGCAGCAGCAGGATCAGGTGGGTCCAGGATGTACAGCCCAGGTGCAGCAGAGTACTGCCAGGCAGGGCAGGAGGAGGACGAGATGGCTGCCACAGAACGGGAGCTCGCTGAGGATGCTCAGTGGAAGAGAATACAGCAGAACACCTTCACCAGGTGGGCTAACGAACACCTCAAGTCCGTCAATAAACACATCGGGAATTTGGAGACTGACCTTAGCGACGGCTTGAGGCTCATCGCGCTCATCGAGGTTCTCTCAGGCAAACAACTTCCCAAACACAATAAACGACCCAATTTCAAAAGTCAGAAGTTGGAGAACGTGTCCGTGGCTCTACAGTTCCTCGAAAGGGACGAAAATATCCGCATCATTAATATAGGTAAGTTATTTGTTACCATTACTGGACATTTGCCACCAGAAGTAGACAACCACAGTCAGTATACTTGTTAAATATTCGTTTTTACTTAGAAAATTAGGTTATACTCAAATAAACTTGGGATCACGTCAGAAGAAATATTATACTTGGGTTTTTTTAGTGTTATACCACTTGTGGGTTAGTCATGAATCTATTGGTATGTTGAGGTATGCTATTTGGCGTTGTCATGTTTTAAGTTAAATAAACCAAAAACCAGGCCAAACCCCGGTGTTCCCGGGGGTGTATGTCATTGTTATCAGTAACTGGTATGTGTGTTGTGTCTACCACTTGTTCATTTCTTGGGCTTACGTTGTGGTGTGGGTCCCTCTGGGCAAGCGCCCGCCGGGGGGCAGCCGGGGGGCAATTAAATAAGTAATAAGTTTATTCAGGGGATACACCCAAATACTGTTACATAGAAAATTAATCATCATAGCAGCATATTGTAGAGAACCTAGGATAACCAAAAAAGTCAGACTGATGTGACTTATTTCCAGGGGGCAGCCGGACTGCTGCTGTATTTATTCCCTTGTACAGGTGTCCACTCTACAAACAATCAGTTTTAAAGGCGGTTTGTTTATAAATTATTATTGATTAGTGTTATTCACAGGGAAGCGTTAAATCTGTACGGTTCATTCAGTAGCCGGGGATGGGGGATAATCAGGTTTGATCACAGGAAAAGGGTTGATAGGTTCAGAAACTTGGATCAAGAGCCCATCATCTACATCAAAAGAATATTTTTTTTATAGTTTAAGTCATGTGACCGGAATAATCTGCTGTCTTGAAACAACTATTTAGAACCTGGGCATATCCATGGATTTTTTTTTTCACGTGACTTTTTCAAGAAAGAATGTAAATTGCGTGATAAGATTGCTGCAGGGAAGGGTAAACTAGTGCTAATTCTGACTGACGTGGCGTATGATTTTGCTATAGGATATTAAACTTCGGGTTTATGTTAGTAATATCAGTTTTCGGGTGCTGTGCCTATTATATATATATATATATTTTTTGCTTGACATAGGCTAACAATACGTATTTTGAAGAAAAAAATTAGAACCGATTCAGGCAGCTTGGTATGTAAATTCAAAATGGAGTCTTATTCTCCAAATCCACATTTACATTTCTACCTTAAATTACCTCTGGCGAATTTATTTGTGCAGGTGTTGGCACCAGCTGATACAGCAGTACAGGTACAAGTGTGTCACCGGGGTGGCGGATATTCAGGTGTTTTGGAGGGGGGGGGGTCATAATTATATGGTATTGATGGCCCTGACTCATGCATCCCGCATTACCACGCCTAAACCTGCGTGACCTAATATTTTCGGGCCTCTAGCGTTATCACATAGGCTCAGCAAACTTTTGGAGATTTCGTGTTAGCCTACAGGCAATAGGTTATAAGCTAAGCGGTAACATATTTGGGAAGGGACCTCATATTGGCACAAAGTTGTGTAACCTGTGTGTTGGGAGTACTCTTTATTACATACCTACATGATGGTAGACTTTTTAAAGCATCAACATTAACAGCTAGGACCACAATATTCAGTTGCCTTGTGGGGATACTTGCAACAAGGCTCGCATAATCTCTGGGTTACTAGGATACATTGCACAACCTAGTTGTCGTGCTTTTGCTGTCTTGAAGATGCATATCCCCGTCTCTTAACACTATTGCAAAGTTATATTTGTAATTAAACGAGAATAAAAAAACCCGGGGTCATATTCATGCACAGGATTACAGTATATTAATAGTTCACATGAATATGCTGTCGGCATTCCAGATACTTCAGGTTAACTTTCAAAGGTCTGGTAAATATGTCAAGCATAAAGGGCAGATAATTTTTTTGAACAGCGTGTAAAGATGCAAATATTGCAAATTTGTCGAAGCTACAAATTTCTTGCATGGCCACGCCCCCCTCCACTTCAATGTGACCACGCCCCTTTCTGTTACTAGGCGACAACGAACCCTTTCACGACCATATGACCACGCCCCCTTCCATATGTAGGCGACAACGACCTCTTCCACGACCATTTGACCACGCCCTCTTCCATTATTAAGTGACAACCACCCCTTCCACGGCCATATGGCCACGCCTTCCATTACCAGGCTATTACGACCCCTTCCACGATTATGCCCACGCTCCTATTACTAGGCGACAACGACCCCTTCCATTACTAGGTTACAACGACCCTTTCCACGACTAAGCCCACGCCCCTTCTATTACTAGGCGACAACGACCCCTTCCACGACTATATGGCCATGCCCCTTCCCTTACTAGTTAACAACGGTCCCTTCCACGACCATATGGCCACGCCCCTTCTATTACTAGACGACAGCGACCTCTTCCACGACCATATGGCCACACCCCTTCAATTACTAAGCAACAACGACCCCTTCCAAGACCTTATGATCACACCCCTTCCACTGTGAGGATTCGTCCCCTTCAATTACCAGATAACTACCCCTTTCCACAATCATAAAGCCACGCCCCCTTTCTACTACCTTGTAGCTACACCTGCAACTATTTTGTGGACACGCCCCTTCCATTACCATGTTACCACGTCCCTTTCACTACCTAGTGACCACACCCCTTTCACTACCTTGTGACCACGCCCCTTTCACTACCTTGTGACCACGCCCCTTTCACTACCTTTCGACCACGCCCATTCCCCTATGAGATTACATCTCCTCCACTGCCCTCTGACCACACTTATTATCACTACCATATGGTACCCCCCTTCCACTACCGTGTGGTAACGCCCCTTCTACTAACTTGTGGGCCACGCCCCCTTTCACAAGCTTGTGAACATGCCTCCCATAACTTGGTGACAAAAACTCCTTTCACTACCATATATATGGTCACCCCCCCCTTTCTACCTGGTGACCATGCTGTAGCCCCATGTACTTACTTGCTGACCAGGCCGCTTCTACCTTGTAGCTACGCCCCATTTAACTACCTGGAGGCGACGGCCCCTTCCACACCTGGTAGCCACGCCCCCTTCCACTAATAGCCACGCCCCCTTCCACTACCTGGTAGCCACACCCCCTTCCACTGTCCTATGGCCCTGTTCCATGACTGCCAAGTGTTCATGCCCTCTTCCATTACCTTTTGTCCAAGCCCCTTCCCCTTTCTGGAGGTCAGGTCTCCTACCACTATCCTATGGCACTGCTATCATCACTGCCAGATGGCCATGCCCCATTCACTACCTTGTAGCCACACCCTTGCCATGCCCCCTTCTCCATCACTGTCAGATGGCCACGCCTCCTCTATCACTATGATATCATATGAATCATATACATGTATTTATCTGTTGTATTGGTGGCCACTATTCGTTCAAGAGTCTTGCACGTGGCGGCAGGCTGGTGATGTAGAAGAATCTAGTCTCATTTTATTTACTACGTGCATTTAGTTAGTTTTAGTAACACGAAGTCAAAAAAACGGTATTAATTCTGGCTTTTAGGTTCCCGGGAGTAACAGAAAATGTTCAAATCTTCACGATTATGATTAAGACTCATATGGTATATTTTGAAACTATTACGTTCTGAAATATACTATATGAGTACAAGCTTATTTTAGCTTAAGGGAATGAGAAATGCGGACTTAGAATGATTTGATAATGGTAATTTTGTAAAGGTGGTGATACCCGAATGTTGCAACAGCCAAGGATGGAGTTGATATCATTGGCGTGCCAAATATTTGGGCTAAAATGCACTACGTAGTATGTTTACTCCCAGGATGACTATTGTTTTGTTAGAGAGAGAGAAATAGACAGACAGACATAGAGAGAGAGAATGAGGGAGGGATGGGGGGGGAGGGCAAGTAAAATAGAGATAGGAGTTGGGGAGGGTGAGGTGAGGTGTGGCTGGGAGAGAGTAGTGTCTAGTCGTCTACTGGACGCCAGGATCCAGCAAGTCTTCAGATGAGCTGTGCGACCCGTACTTCCATCATATTACACTTGCCTGTACACACTTGCATCTTGATATTCTCTGTTTCCCTCGCTCGGCTATTCAGAATTCTTCTTACTGGAATTTAGGTTATAGAAATGTGGTCGGAAATGATAAATTAGAAATTATAAGCGATAGAGAGATGTGAAGGGGTTCGGACACAGTGAGTTCTCCCGGGCGGTCCTCTGTCTCCCTCCCCAGTCAACTCACATCACCATCAAAAACATTTTTTTTTTTACTGGCGATTCGTTATATTTGCTTTTATTTCGAGGTTATGACTAGTGCCTCCTCATATCTATTATCAGATAACAATCTGTTGATGTGGTTGTCATTTCGTACTGAATGGGAAATGGGGTAATAAGTTTAATTTTCCTCCATCCCAGACTTGGTGGGTTAGGGGGACCTGCCACCGGCACCCTAATATTTGGATCCTTGCAATTGTTAGCCTAATTACTTCACACATACACCCCTAGCATCATCCGGCCTGTCATTCACAACGATTCCCCCATCACTTTATCAGTACAGATATATGGTTGTGCATAAATTTTAGTAATGTAACTGGTCATTGAACAGAAGGTTATCACCAGAGCAAGTTACCGCTTAACACCACAGACACGTAGTGCTTTCTGGTGTTTCGTGGAGATAATTGTGGTAGGCCAGTTGTGGTGAGCTCCGTGTAGTATTCCCAGTCTCGGTGAGGCCGCTCTCAAACAACACCACCATTAAAACCATTAGAAAAATGTCTGGAGGAAGCTGTAACTGCCGCCGGGGAGTGCAAGTCACCCTGAGAGCCCCAGACACGAGTCCCGTTGTACTTAGCTCTCTCTCCAAGTCTTCTCCATATATGTTTTCATACTGTTCGTAACGTTCGTTGATTAAAATAGTGATTGTATACAACAGTAATTGATTGTACGCTAACATAGTTGACGCTACAATAATACCAATGAATGATAATTGTATGCAACGAAGAACAGGTTACAAAATGCTTGTTGGAAGGAGGATTGGAAGGGGTAGTAGGTCTGATGTT